AATTGGCCTAGTGGTTTATGAGGAGATGTCATTTAAAGTAAAAGTTTACGGACAACGGATGACGGACGAAAAGCGATCACAAAAGCTCACCCTGTCACTTTGTGACAGGTGAGCTAAAAAATCATTATGTAATTATTTACTGACATATTTTAATTGATTGTTATTATGCATGCCGATAAACAAAATATGATGTTTTTCACACAAACACTTTGCTTTTTTGGGAGAAAACAATATAATGGTGACTAGAACAATGAAATTAAAAGATATACCGTATTTACTCGCCTATAAGACGGATCGCTTATAAGACGGGGGTCCTAATTTTGACTCAAAATAGGCATTTTTAGCTAAGACCCTCTTATAAGACGGGTTGGATTTTTATCAGGGGGAAAATAGTACTGCACCTCAGTTTTGATGGAAAATTGTTAAATATCATGAGAATGAGTTTTGGATGCATATGAATAAACTTGTCATAATAAAAATAGTAACACATCATTGTTTGTTGGTTTTTTATTTAATCATCTCTTTTCTCTCTATTTCTTTTTTTTAATTTTTTATTTTATTTTCAATGTAAAACTGCAAAAGTAACATATGATATAAAATGATACATGTTCACTGAACAATTTCTAAAGTTCATTGATATGAATCTTTGCCGTTGTAAATAGTGTATAACCATATAATTATATAAATAGAGCAAATATTTTTTTACTGTCAATCTATTTTGCTACTATTTTATAGACACCAAATTATTCTATCATTCAGATTAAACCAATCGAAGATTAATCCACCAATACTGCCATTTTTAACCAATAAAATTTAAGAATTAACAAAAATGCTATAATTTATTCACAGACTAATGGCCCTTTTTAATCAAAAACCAATGAAATTTAAGTGTAAATAATAATCCTATAATTTATTCTCAGATTATTGACCCATCTCCATTAAGGAAGGGTCCTGCTTTTAATCATCAATGTCTAGTTTTATGACAATTAACAACATATGGTAAAATGGCAGTTAACAAGTGTAGTGAAATGGCAAATAACAGTGTCTATAATTGAAAGTGTCTCTGTTGTCAGCAGGTGTCCATGCAGTTCACGCTAGATTGCTTATCAATGTTTCAAGTAGTGGCAAAATATTTTTGATTTGGGGTAATTTGCTTAAAGCATACTAATGTTTCGTAAAAAGCACAGATAAAAAGATATTCATACTTATCTTTTTGAAGAAATGATACAGAAACTTAAGTATAAATCGTAAAGTAGGATTCAATTTTTTTATTATACATTAAACAAATTACTTAACATTGTACCAACATGTTCCATCAAAAACAATAAATAAAATGACCCAGACAAGATTTTTTCCCATTAAAAATGAACTGAATGAACCAAAAAAAATTTGCGAAAAACAAATCTCCCCGATGTGACCTAATTTTTTCCATGAATCTACAGGTTGTATACGACAAAATGGCACAAAATTTTAAGTTGCATTTTTTTTATAACGGAGTCTGTGACCCTTGCATACTTTCTCTGATATTTAGTTAATAATGGCATTTTTTATTAATAATTTTTTTTTAAAATATATTTATTAATCTTTCATACTTAATCATCATCCATTTAGTATTTTTTTTTATGAAACAAAAGTGTGAAGTTAATATGGCATATCTGTAAATACTCTTCTAAAAAAATCAATATCAGCTTTGGTCTACGTGACCTTGCGCAGGTGTTATGAGGTTGATTTCCCGAAAATCTGTAAATAGCATCTTTGTTATTCAACACATGTAATGACCTAACAAATGATTACTGTTTATGTTAGTTCTCTTTTAACAAGACAATAATTGTCTTTCAAAACGGAATAAGTGGACATGGCTTGAGGCTACGTTCGTAGGGTCAGGTAGGGACATTTTTTCCTCGATATTAAAGAAGGCCCCAATTATAAGTCAGAAAAATTTTGGTAAACGTCGTTGATCCTCTTATAAGACGGAAAGCAACTTTTGTCTTTAAAATGGAAGAAAAAATCCCCGTCTTATAGTCGGAGAAATACGGTAAATATGAACATACTTTTTGTTATTTTACTTTTTTTGTAACATGCTTTCGGAGAGCATTATTTTCTAAAGTAAAAAGAGTAAATGGTTAACAAAGGAAAAATAGTTCCCGTATTAGGAAAAGCATTGTAGAAACTTGTTTGGTATAGCCCCCATAGAAAATGTTTATCAGTTATACTGCTGTACAAGAAACAGTAACCTCCTTACATTTATAAAAATTAGGTCAATAGGCCACTTCAATTGATGAAACCTCCCTGGAGGTTAACATTATAGACAAGTAACAAGACATCATCCCATAACAGGGAATATATTTGAAACTTCTCTAATTACCTGACACTGGTTAGGTTTAACTAAATGATGCTTGATCGAACATTTTGACTTGAAACCTCTTCAGTTCAGGAAATGGTCAGATATCAATTCAAATGAGGTAAATGGAAGTGGGTAATTGTTGGTTCTATTACAACTATTCTGATCACAAACAGTAAGCTACTTGCAAATGTTCATAACAACATCATTAGCTTAATTATTGGAGGAAATTAATTACTTTCAAAATGATCAAAAATGAAGGACGCCAGAATTTACATTTAGAGATTCTATTATGTTTTGAGTAAATTTTGAGATACAGAAATCACATTATATTATGAAATGGTTTTATAATACACTTTAAAGGGAGACACAGACAAAACTTTCATTTCTTCATTTTGAATTTTTCATTCATTTTCCTGTAAATGGCCTCAAAATTAATACATTAGGCAGTCACAGGAACACAAATTTTCTTCTTATAAAGAATAAAATCATAGTTACCTAGCTTGACCCACATAGGTCAGGTTAGGGCGTTAAGATTTCACAATAGTAGTCACAGTGAACTCTTGAAATGTTAAAGACCATGTTAAATGTATGACTAAGACTTGTTTCAATCATACAATATCCACAATATCTGTTATTCTAACTTCCAGGGTCTGTTCAAGTCTAAACTTACTCGGTGATTCTGTCGGTGTCTAAATTTCCTTCAACATAATTATTTAGATATATTTACGCTTCAAACCCAATATATATAGAATTTATACAGAAATTTATGCTAGGACTTAAAAAATGTCATTTTAGGTGTGATTTGAGTACATAAGATCATTTTAATATTTTTGTCATTAATTAAGACATTCTGCTAATGTTTTAACAATTCTTCAAGGAATAAGAAACTTATAAGCCAGGGAAAAGTAGAAACATCTTATTTGACCATAAATTTCCAAATATGACCTTGATCTTTTTGTTCTCACACATACACCTCATGCACACATACTGATATGGTAAACTGAAGATGACTATATGCATCATCCCCCTACTCTTGTAAATATAAAAGTTTTTTTCTGCCTTCATAAAATATTGCACTTCTATTATTCTAAAGGAAAATGACATTGTGACCATGGGTGACAGGCTTCTATATACATGATCTTTAATATTCAGAATCAACACAATTTTCCCTGTATTAATGGTTTTCATAATTGTATAGCTTACACAAATTTGAACAACTTTACCACTTTTTGTACCTCATATGCCTGAAATGTGGCAACAAGTTATTTGGCATTTGAAAACATGCTTTAAAAATTGCACTAGTGGTTTTCTCATTTTGCACCAAGCAAGCAGGAGCCAGTCATCAGTATAGCATGCATAAGATGGGACATATACAGAGTTGTATCTCAGTGAAGCTGTACTGAGAACTTTGGTTCCTGGCATTAAGTATTCTCTATATAACTGAATTATTGTTGATGTTTTATTGTTTTATTGGGTTTTACGGCACACCGACACAGTATAGGTCTTATGGCGGTGTTCCAGCTTTACTGGTGGAGGACGACCTCAGGTGCCCTTCCGTGCATTATTTCAGGCACAAACGGGTACCTGAGAAGAACCACCAGCGTTCCATTAGCTAGCTGAATAGCTTCCTCACATGAAAGAATTCAAAGTTCCTGTAGGGATTTGAACCCACAGTGGTGAGGGGCAAGTGGTTTGAAGTCAACGACCTTAACCAATCGGCCACGGACACCCTGGCGAATTATTGTTGAACACGACACTGTTGCACATTGATTCGAGTTATAAAGACTTGTTTATTTTTCTATAAAGACCATTTTTCTATGGTGAATTTTTATTCCTTGTTGGTTTTTCATATGGCATGGAATGTGTCAGTTTTTTGAAGGACATTGATGGCTGTAGTGGTTCCAGTTACAATCATAAAATTCGTCTGTTTTATATTGAACAAGCCTCTCAAAACATTTCTCTTCACTTTCTCTCTGTAACAAATTTGTCTTTCATCTTTCTATCAAATAAATCTGTCTGCATATTTGTATGTTATTGCATTATTATAACAGATATATAAATTGAATAGGAATAAAAAATATCTCTATTTCTATGTTTTCATTTAATTTCAGTCTTTTGAAGACTAGGGTTATTGTATGTTATGTGCTTGAAAACAGTTTTGATAGTCTAGAATGAAAATGTTTTTGGGAGAGAAATAAAATTCACTTCATAGTAACCTAATTGTTGCCCTTTGAAATCTGATTTAACAAGAATTATCTGACAGAGAAGTATCAATGTTAAATTATATGAGCTGAATAGTTAAATATCACCTAGGGATTTATGTATAGGATGGCGACCCAGTACAAAAGTCTTTCTGTTTAGGAAAAACCTGGTCACAAATTGCATGTGACAACAAGAGCTGAAAAAGTGGTATTAAAAAACATAAAAGTGAAGTCAGAGACTTAAAAGGGGAATTCCCTATGAATTTGCTTGTGGATAAGGAACAACGCACATTGCTTAAATTAGAGTAAAGTTCTGATATTGGATAAAACATGCTTTAATGACAAAGTTGCTTTAAAAAGACTTCAAAATTATTTTTTTGAAAATACTTTGGAATTTCTGTTAACAGAATTGTTTAATTCTTCAAAATGAAGTGAAAGCTTGTAGGTATATTTACCTCTAAAACTTGTGGAATGGTGCACTGGAAATCATCAATAAGCCTATTGGAAGCCCGTATTTGTAGAATGTACTCATTGTGCGCATTGTGAAATTCATGCCGTAGTCCCTCTCGATTGTCCAAACTACCACAGTTTTTAAAGGCCCCGTATGCATCCATATATGTCTGCTCCTTCTATAAAATAAAAGAAAGTCAAATATTAAAGACTTTCCAAGGACTTTCATTGTAATGTTTTTGTTTTTTATTGATAAACTCCAAGGATCCTTGGACTATACAAAACTTAACATTTGGCATTTAACATGCTCCTAGCTTCTTTGTACATTATCAAGATTTAGTCTTTGACTTTGTACATACTCAAAGCTTCTTTGTACTTTATCAAGATTTATTCTTTGGCTTTGTACAAACTCAGGCTTCTTTGTAATTTAACAAAACTTGTTCTTTGGTCTTTCTAAAACTAAAAGTTTCTTAGGATTTTTTAAACTTTACTCTTTGACCTTTTACAAACTCAAAGCTTCTTTGGACTTTAACAAAAATTTGCTCTTTGGCTTTAATAAATATTTGTCCCTAAGTCACATTCTTTCTCAGGATTTTAGGGATATTTCCCTCTCCAGCCTTGAACAAACTTAAATCTTTACCATCTTGGCCTTTCAATGATTTCATCTGAACTCAAATTACAGCAAAATACCATATTGCTATATTATCTGATGATTAATCATTTAATAAGAATGCAAGCACAATTATGCATTTCCAGCCAATTAATAAAAATTTCTTTTTAATGTGCTGGAGAATATAGACCAGAATTTTTCTGAAACTGTCAAATTATTTTTTAAAAATAATATTTTATATAAATGTTTATATTAGAGCTGAATATCAAATTTGAAGGTTTGTGACATTCAGTGTATAATGCTTGACAATTGTATTAAATTAATTTACATTTAACTTCAGGCATGATGAAAGAACTAATTTGATTTCTGATAATATTTCAAACAAAAAGCTAAGTGTTAACATTTTCACTTTCTTATATCAAAATCATAACCTTTTGCATTATGTTTTATGAGTATTATAATTTAAGTAATCATTGAGACACTGTCATTATAATTTAAGTATAAGGAATCATTGAGACACTGGCATTATAATTTAAGTATAAGGAATCATTGAGACACTGGCATTATAATTTAAGTATAAGGAATCATTGAGACACTGGCATTATAATTTAAGTATAAGGAATCATTGAGACACTGGCATTATAATTTAAGTATAAGGAATCATTGAGACACTGGCATTATAATTTAAGTATAAGGAATCATTGAGACACTGGCATTATAATTTAAGTATAAGGAATTTTTGAGACACTGGCATAATAATTTAAGTATAAGGAATCATTGAGACACTGGCATAATAATTTAAGTATAAGGAATTATTGAGACACTGGCATTATAATTTAAGTTTAAGGAATTTTTGAGACACTGGCATTATATATTAAGAATAAGGAATCATTGAGACACTGGCATAATAATTTAAGTATAAGGAATTATTGAGACACTGGCATTATATTTTAAGTGTAAGGAATTATTATTCAGACACTGGCATAATATTTTAAGTAAAAGGAATCATTGAGACACTGTCATAATAATTTAGGATAAGGAATCATTGAGACACTGGCATTATAATTTAAGTATAAGGAATTATTATTCAGACACTGGCATAATATTTTAAGTAAAAGGAATGATTGAGACACTGGCATAATAATTTAATTATAAGGAGTCATTGATTTAAGTACAAGGAATCAATGAAACACTGTCATTATAATTTAAGTATAAGGAATAACTGAGACCCCAGCATTAAAATTTAAGTATAAGAAATTATTATTCAGACACTTGCATAATGATTTAAGTATAAAGAATCATTGAGACACTGGCATAGTTATCTAAGAATAAGGAATCATTGAGACACTGGCATTATAATTTAAGTATAAGGAATTACTGAGACACTGACATAATAATTTAAGTATAAGGAATCATTAAGACACTTGCATAATATTTTTAATATAAAGAATCATTGAGACACTGTCATTATAATTTAAGTTTAAGGAATGATTGAGACACTGGCATAATAATTTAAGTATAAGGAGTCATTGATTTAAGTACAAGGAATCATTGAGACACTGACATTATAATTTAAGTATAAGGAATTATTGAGACACTGGCATTTTATTTTAAGTATAAGGAATGATTGAGACACTGGCATTATATTTTAAGTATAAGGAATCATTAAGACACTTGCATAATATTTTTAATATAAAGAATCATTGAGACACTGTCATTATAATTTAAGTATAAGAAATGATTGAGACACTGGCATAATAATTTAAGTATAAGGAGTCATTGATTTAAGTACAAGGAATCATTGAGACACTGGCATTTTTTTTAAGTATAAGGAATGATTGAGACACTGTCATTATATTTTAAGCATAAGGAATCATTAAGACACTTGCATAATATTTTTAATATAAAGAATCATTGAGACACTGACATTATAATTTAAGAATAAGGAATCATTGAGACACTGGCATTTTATTTTAAGTATAAGGAATGATTGAGACACTGGCATAATAATTTAAGTATAAGGAGTCATTAATTTAAGTACAAGGAATCATTGAGACACTGACATTATAATTTAAGAATAAGGAATCATTGAGACACTGGCATTTTATTTTAAGTATAAGGAATGATTGAGACACTGGCATAATAATTTAAGTATAAGGAGTCATTGATTTAAGTACAAGGAATCATTGAGACACTGACATTATCATTTAAGAATAAGGAATCATTGAGACACTGGCATTATAATTTAAGTTTAAGGAATTATTATTCAGACACTTGCATAACAATTTAATTATAAGGAATCATTGAGACACTGTCATTATAATTTAAGTATAAGGAATTATTGAGATCCTGGCATTAAAATTTAAGTAGAAGAAATTATTATTCAGACATTTGCATAATGATTTAAGTATAAGGAATCATTGAGACACTGGCATTATAATTTAAGTATAAGGAATCATTTAACTGTTACCTCTTGGTACTGATGTTCAGATTGACTTAACATATCTTCGATGTTATCTCGGAATGCCTGCAATTTTTCAGCCTGACTTTTTTTGTACTTTGACACTTCATGTAAAGGTTCGCTGACATTCTTTATCAGCAATCCGGCTGCATCTAAATGAGCCTGAAAACACATGTATATAGTATTTGTTTGCTGGAAAAGACATGTATATAGCTTTAGTAGGCCTGAAAACAAAATTTTATGTATATAGTTTTTGTATGCTTGAAACTTTAAGTATGAAAGGTAAGGTTATATCAAAACTTTTGTTGAAAGAAGTAACAAGTAATGTGTCAAACTACAGATAGACAGCATGACAGTTGGACAATGCAACAAAAATACATAGGTTTTATGAATATATGTATATGTGAACATATATGAATTCGAATCCTTGGTCTACAATCTTAATTAAAGGCATTCTCTTCTATTTTACAGAGGAAGATTTTTGTAATGAACTCTATTTAGAAGCAAACCCTGTGCTTCTTTATATAGCATATTTTTCAAGGGAAATTAAATAAAACATAAGAACTTTCAGAGAAAATTAAATGAAAAATAAGAGTTAAACTATACAATACCCTTTGAAATTAGAAATATACCTACCTCAAATAATAAAATGAAAACAAAACATTTTTGTAAAGGGAATAAATCTAACAATAATCTAGGAAAGTAAAGTAAAACCATAATTGCTGCACAACAAATCTATTGTCTTAGTAAATATATATGATCAAATAAACTATCCAATCAAAAGACTTTGTTAAATGTCAATTGCTTTTAAATGACAGTCATCCATTTCTGTAAAGCAAGAGTTAACTGATGATGTCACTATATATTTACTTTCAGAATCCTTTCGGTTTTTGTTATTGCATAATAGACTTACTTATACATATATTTCAAACTCAGAGATGCTCATAATTATGTAACATCTGAATCTGTGTGGGATTTAAACTCACAGACCCTGACTGACAAACAAATTAACATAATGCTTTATACCTCTGAGCTAAACAATTGATTCTGTGTGTCCGTTGTCAGAGGTTTTAGTTATAGTATTAACTTGTACTTAAAGTATTAACTTGTACAACACTGTATAGGTCACTTGGTGACTTTCCAGATTAATCTAAACCTCATAGCATTGAGAGGCTTAGTGATCGAGAGTCAGCGACTTTACTCGTAGAAGTACCATTAGCTATGCCAACCAACATTACAATTTTTGCTTGTACTATTATAAAGATTTTTGTAAGGTTATATGGCCCTTTAAAATTGTTGTATGCATAACCCAAGCACCTAGGAAAGGGTTATATTGTACACAACTATTTATATATGATCATAAATCCTGTCAAGAATCTCTACAACAAATTAACATGCTTTAATTGAGAAAAAAAAATCAAATTCTGTCATAAATTGACAGCAGCCGTGTATTATAGACAATATAAACGTTATGATTCTCCAATGAAAAGACACATTACAATTGTGCAATATTATAAATGTTATTGTGTGTATTGTCTTCATCAGTAACATATATGGATAACTCCTCCACTGGGCTAGAAGTGACAGTCACTCTAGCATGCAAGCAGTAAAGCACTGACACACAACAAATTGTTCTACATTAACACCTCATACACCATTAAGTTATATCAGAAGGAGCACCTGGGCATCTGACTTTTCATTCCATTGCATTTATTATAATTGATCAATAATATTGCATTTAACATGTATTTTCATTGAATAATTATCATAGCTACATCAGATTTACAATTATTTTCATTTCATTCAAAGAAATCAATTGCAGAGTATCATAACAAGAAGGCCATGAAAGCCCCAAAACTGCTCACCTGATTATTTGCTCTTAATAACATAGAACAATTAATTTTTATTAACAATGAATGAAAAGCAGATTTAATGTCTTAATCTTAAACTGATATTACAACATTCAAATTAGGTAAATGTAAACAAGGTTTTTTTCCCATATTTGGGCTGTTCACCTAGTTTTTAAACCATACTCAATCTAGAGCAAGAAATCATCACAACAAACTTCATGACAAATGTCATGATTTTTAGGGCTGAAAATGTTACCCTTAGAGTGATCCATATTTAGACTGTGTAACCTTTTTGACCCCATATGACCTATATTCCAGCTTGAGCTAGAAATAATCTAAAAAACCTTTCTGAATAATTTCCAGGATTATTTAGACTGAGAGTTTAACAAGATTTTTCCATTTTTGGGTCATATGACCTAGTTTTTCATTTGAATTATTACTGTGTCAAACCTCCTGACCAACTTTTGCAATTATTAAGGCAAAACTGTCACCAAAAGAGTGTTCACATACTAACTTTGGACAGACACCATGAGCCAGTTTAGATGAGCTAAAAATGTTTGCAGACTTTTGACAAGGATTGTTTACTATCATTGTATCACTATTCTGGGCTATATATTCTGTCAGAAATCTATATCATATATTAACGTACAACTCTTGTATTATAAAACAACATGACAGTATTATACAGTTCATTTTATAATACAGATATGAAACACCTTCAGAAACTACAGATATGAAACACCTTCAGAAACTACAGATATGAAACACCTTCAGAAACTTCTTGCATATTGTATACACCTACCTTCAAACAGTTAAGAGGAGGAGAGAGAAAGAAGATATTTATGATTCCCCCTAGCTTTGTATGACAAGTTAAGAGAGCACTTATGATCCCTATAACTGCTTAAGTCAAGAGATAATAGAGAGCATCCAAGATTCCATTTACTTTGCATGAGAAGTCAATACATCATGATTCCGTTTACTTGTATAAGAGGTCAAGAAAGAAAGAGAGCATAAATGATTTTCCTTACTTTTAAGTCATAGTATTAAACATGATCCAAACACAGAGTATATTGATTGGTATACTTTATGACAGGGTATACTTTGTAACAATGGAAACTTGTCTAAATGTCTTCCTATATAATGAGTTTTACTGTGACAATGCTTTTAAGATGTCAAGGCTTAACCAACCATAAAATAAAAACAGGCACTGACCAATAATTATAAAGAGATAATAAAAACGTCATGAAGCCATAAAATAACTTGGAGAAATATCAAGACCAGTGATTATCATTCTAGCCTGATCTGTCCTTAATTGCTTTCTTGTCCAGTTAAGTAGAAACTGTCCATTATCCTGTTTTGTGATAATAAGATAAAATGTTGTGGACTACCTATACTGGTGGCAAAGACTTATCATGGTGTGCACACTGGCCTGACTTTACTGGTGGCAAAGATTTATCATGATGTACACATAAACCTGACTTTACTGGTGGCAAAGGCTTATCATAGTGTACACACAAGCCTGACTTTACTGGTGGCAAAGGCTTATCATGATGTGCACACTGGCCTGAATATACTGGTGGCAAAGGCTTATCATGGTGTACACACAAGCCTGACTTTACTGGTGGCAAAGGCTTATCATGGTGTACACACAAGTCTGACTTTACTGGTGGCAAAGGCTTATCATGGTGTACACACAAGTCTGACTTTACTGGTGACAAAGACTTATCATGATGTGCACACTAGCATGACTATACTGGTGGCAAAGACTTATCATGGTGTCCACACAAGCCTGACTTTACTGGTGGCAAAGGCTTATCATGGTGTACACACAAGCCTGACTTTACTGGTGGCAAAGACATATCATGGTGTGCACTTCACCATGACTATACTGGTGAAAAGGCTGATCATGATGTGTACACTGGCCTGACTATACTGGTGGCAAAGGCTTTTCATGATGTGTACACTGGCCTGACTTTACTGGTGGCAAAGGCTTTTCATGATGTGCACAGTGGCCTGACTATACTGGTGGCAAAGGCTTATCATGATGTGAACACCGGCCTCGCTATACGGATGGCAAATACTTATCATGATGTGCACTCTGGCCTGACTATACTGGTGGCAAAGACTTATCATGATGTGAACACTGACCTGACTATTCTGGTGGCAAAGACTTATCATGATGTGCACACTACCCTGACTATACTGGTGGCAAAGGCTTATCATGATATGCACACTGGCCTGACTATACTGGTGGCAAATACTTATCATGATGTGCACTCTGGCCTGACTATACTGGTGGCAAAGACTTATCATAATGTGCACAGTGGCCTGACTATACTGGTGGCAAAGGCTTATCATTATGTGCACACTGGCCTGACTATACTGGTGGCAAAGGCTTATCATGATATGCACACTGGCCTGACTATACTGGTGGCAAATACTTATCATGATGTGCACTCTGGCCTGACTATACTGGTGGCAAAGACTTATCATGATGTGCACAGTGGCCTGACTATACTGGTGGCAAAGACTTATCATGATGTGCACACTGGCCTGACTATACTGGTGACAAAAGTTTATCATGATGTACACACTGGCCTGACTATTCTGGTGGCAAAGACTTATCATGATGTGCACACTGGCCTGACTATACTGATGGCAAAGGTTTATCATGATGTACACACTTGCCTGACTATTCTGGTTGCAAAGACTTATCATGATGTGCACACTACCCTGACTATACTGGTGGCAAAGGCTTATCATGATATGCACACTGGCCTGACTATACTGGTGGCAAATACTTATCATGATGTGCACTCTGGCCTGACTATACTGGTGGCAAAGACTTATCATAATGTGCACAGTGGCCTGACTATACTGGTGGCAAAGGCTTATCATTATGTGCACACTGGCCTGACTATACTGGTGGCAAAGGCTTATCATGATATGCACACTGGCCTGACTATACTGGTGGCAAATACTTATCATGATGTGCACTCTGGCCTGACTATACTGGTGGCAAAGACTTATCATGATGTGCACAGTGGCCTGACTATACTGGTGGCAAAGACTTATCATGATGTGCACACTGGCCTGACTATACTGGTGACAAAAGTTTATCATGATGTACACACTGGCCTGACTATTCTGGTGGCAAAGACTTATCATGATGTGCACACTGGCCTGACTATACTGATGGCAAAGGTTTATCATGATGTACACACTTGCCTGACTATTCTGGTTGCAAAGGCTTATCATGATGTACACACTGGCCTGACTATTCTGGTTGCAAAGGCTTATCATGGTGTACACACTGGCCTGAAT